ATATATATATAGAGGGGAGAATAGATTAACTATCTAGCTGTGTCATTGAGGCCTCAAGTAATGAACCACTTTTTTAAATACTATGTCGAAGCTTCAACAAAGCCTCAATCAGCCATCACTAGGCACAAGCCGTGAAAGAAATCTCTTCAGGACTGCACATGCACGTGAGGGATAAACCAATAGCGACAGCTCTTAGAGGGTGAAGCCTATATGAACTAGAACAACAACATACAATGAAAAAAACGTAGAAAAAATCATCTGGACTTGGTTTTAGGTAGAAGACGTTTCAGCTCTCATCCAAGAGGCTTCATCAGTTCTGTCCAACTGGTGGTGAGCAGGAGGTATTTATCTCTCTGGGTGGTGTTTCAGTCCTTTTCAGACCATTTTTGTGAACACTGTGTCGAAGCTTCAACAAAACCTCATTTACCCATCACTAGTTGAAGTCCCTTAATCAGCTGCGAGCTCTGCTAGGAGTGTGTCTGCAGAGAGAGAGAGGCAGAGGAGAGCGAGAGAGGCAGACGACGAGCAAACCCCACAGATTCAATCATCATTTGTAGTCTAAGAAAGAATGAAATTGATATTATATATTTAGTCAAACAATAGAAAACCCCCATGATCAATAAACATTCGTCAGTAGACACTAATTTTCAGCTTGAAAATGTTGAATGTTTTTCTAATGTACAACATATGACTTTGCAGCTTGTCCAGAAAATTGTGTGGTTGCATCTCCCACAGCTTTTTAAAAACAATCATATCTAAACATTATAAAATCATAATTACAGTCAGATTCTTATTTACGTATGTATGGTGAAGAGAGGGGTGGAGCTGTCAACTGATCACCACCTGGTGGTGAGCTGGATTCGATGGTGGGGGAGGAAGCTGGACAGGCTCGGCAGACCCAAACGTATTGTGAGGGTCTGTTGGGAACGTTTAGCAGAATCTCCTGTCAGAGCAATCTTCAACTCCCACCTCCGGCAGAGCTTTGACCAGATCCCGGGGGAGGTTGGAGACATTGAGTCCGAGTGGACCATGTTCTCC